ACAAAATAGTGTTTCATTAAAAATTGAATAACTCTATAGGCGTCTAATTCACATCATACATTCCTCATTAGTTGCACCTTTAAACAAAACAAAGAACCACCACGTATCAATTAAAACTTCATCAAAAATTTAGTTTAAAAAAAGTGGGGGGCGCGCTGCCCCACGTTACCCTACATGTCATATAGTCGCACTCACTACATACTGTCTCTTATACACATCTAGATGTGTATAAGAGACAACTATAGTTTAGGCTGATAAAATTATTCAATTACATTCGTGACATTGATCTGTTCACTTATCGAATTATTTTCAAAAAATAATCACTGACTACTTTGGGAGGTTGCGCAGAGCTTTCTCTGCAGTTAGCTATGCCCAAGTAACCATGATTTTTCCCTCAAAACAGAGAGGGAGGAAGGAACGGGTAATACAACGAGAGCGTTGAGGAATTTGTGTCCTCCCCATTGTCCTACCTCCCTACCTCCCCATTGTCCTCCCCTACCTCTATCGTCTTGTGTTGTTATCGCAGCCGGTACTGTAAACAACTGATACAAGTGGCATCGCCATACCACATTGTCACGGCATATACTGTGCGCTGTAAAATACCGTCAAAAGTTCAGGAATAAAGACATACAAAAATTTCTATTTACAAATTATATTTTACAGTCGCATTCACGGACTGTCGAAATCCGCGCTACGCTACCTTATTCGAACTGCATGTAAACGCGAGACAACAGCGAGCCTTATAGTGGGGAAGGTAAGGGTTGAGGAGTGATTTACTGCTGTCACGGTGCTGTGGGCCCATGGCAGTGTACGAGTGCGGTGTGTCCCCTCGTCCCCTCACCTACCTATTATAACTATACATAACTGTATAGTTATTTACTGCACTGTATAGTTATTAGGTGTACTATATTCTTATTATGTGCACTGTTTAGTTACAGGCTCCTTTGCATTCTTATATAGATTTGTTCAAGGACTGAATGACGGATATCATTCATTAATAAATATTGTAACGTAGCAATGTCAACGTTGTTTGAATACGTACTTATTAATTCATGGACAACATCATCGTTAATATCGCTTCGAATTTATTACTATCTGCAAACGAATTTTTTTGTCATGATTTTATTTGATATTTAATTAGAAGCTCTTCCAGAAACATCCATCGCAATATTAAGTGCGAGAAATTTCAAATCATAACATAAGGTAAAATATAGAGAGATGTTCAGACAGTTTGCTGATTTGATCCTCACCTCAACCTCCCCAGAAATTCGATAGGTAAGGGTATCTGCTCTCCCCTATACCAGCTCACCACCACAATTGTAAACGTCGTTCGTTGGCGGGTTGGCACTTTAAACCCTGCCCCTCACCCCTCCTCACCCCCAAACACAGAATGCCACTCTACATTTATGCCTATAGTCCATGTATGAATGTAGAATTTTATTCTTGAAACGTTAAAAAAGCCACTGTGATTAGCTTCCTATATCCTTTTCCTTTCTGCATTCTTTCTTTTCCTGTATCTTACTTCTATGCGTCTTACTTACTTCTATATCCTTCATTAATAAATATTGTAACGTAGCAATGTTACCAGAAGTAAGTAAGAAGTAAGGTTTTATAGGTTTACTACTTACTACTCGCGGACTTCTACTATAGGTTTACTACTTACTACTCGCGGACTTCTACTATAGGTTTACTACTTACTACTCGCGGACTTCGACAGTCCGTGAATGCGACTGTAAAATATAATTTGTAAATAGAATGAAGGGTTCACATTCCTACTGCGAACCTGTATCTTACTTCTATGATTATGAAGGGGTTTGCATTCCTACTGCGAACCTGTATCTTACTTCTATGATTATGTAGGGGTTAGCATGCCTAATGCGAACCTGTATCTTACTTCTATGATTATGTAGGGGTTAGCATGCCTACTGAGAACCTGTATCTTACTTCCATGTTTATGAAGGGGTTCGCAATCCTACTACGTACCATAATACTTTGTATCATTGTGGTTTTCCCTCAAGTTATTTAAATTACGCTCATATATGTACGACCATGACGCTCATAGACCAGACTGCGAAGTGGGCTGTGAAAGAAGAGTGCATGTTTACCCTGAAGTGAAGATTTATTACCTGCGCTTGCAGAAGAGTATGACAACCAAAGGTCTGGTTGTGCTTTAATCTACGGAAGTTTCACCTACCCTTGGGCTTCGAGTGCTTATATCTAATACTAGAATAATAATTCATAAATGTTTGAGGTAGCGATCAATGAAGAATAAATAGTTAAACCGACGTATATCGAGAAATTGCTAGAAAAATCACACGCTTTACGAATATCGGGGTGCAAGGTTTCATCCTCCCTGATAACAGTTGAAATAAAAAGTTTACATAATTTATCTTAATGTCTACGTATTAAAAATAATTAGCCAGGATAGCATTCCAAATTTCAGACTTATATCTTATTTATGAGGGGATTTATTGGACCTAGTAATAGTTATAAAATTACATTAGCGACTAACGCGGCTGAGCCGGCTGAACGGGCCTCTTAAGCACATCGTATGTGCGGTAGCCAACTTGACGAAACGAGGTCATTGCAGCCCTGCAGAAGTCCTCAACGAGGCCAGTTCGGTGATTGGTGGGTCTGAGCTGATCGCCGACGATGGTGTACAAGAGGGCATCCATCATGCCTATAAGTGAGTCTTGGAATGCTACAAGCATAAGCCAGGTTGTCACAAGTACTCTTCCTCCTTGATTGGCGGTGATCACGCATATGTCCTCATAGGCAACAATCTTGAATCCCAAGGCAGGGCAATGATAAGTGTCAACTCCGCTAACTTTGTTGGACATTTCAGCCAATAAGCAATCCCACTCTTTTCTTATATAGGACAATCCATTCAGGAAGCGATTCCCGATTATGGGCTGTATGTTAATGTCCATGTCAACGTTCGCCCAAGCACTAGTTGGGATGCTGAGAGCAGCAAGGGATGCTTCTAATATATCCCTGTCCATGGACATTGGTCCTGATAAGGATGGCACAACGAGATTATAATATTATAAGAATTGGGCATTATTATAGGTACATTCCAAGCTATATGTAGGAGGTACATGGTGAGTGAGGAAGGCTTTGAGGTCTTCCGGAGCTATACCTTCCTCAAACCATGCAGTAAGGTGAGACAACAATGGCGGAAGAGACCCTCGATTCCTTCCTCCAGAGGCGGGGATTGTCTGGAGGAGGACCTGCGTGAAGTTGGAGTAGAGATAATTCTTCTTCGTCCATTGTAAGAGAGTGTATCTCGTGTAGTTTCTTAAAATTCGGAAAAATTCTTGATGATCACCAGACAAACCCCTAGCAAGGAACAACTGTCCCTAGATAAATGGTCAAATGAATATCACAGTTCAGTAGATCTCCATTTGCCACTCCCAGATATGCACCTACATCAAAGTGCATCTCCCCATTCTCCATGTCTGGGCACAGTTGATGAACACATTTACCAAACTCTGGGTTGAACCGGAGAACTACTCGAGGAGGATTTCTCAACATGCCATGCCTAAAATCCCATGACAAGATCTCATCTGGGACATGGACAATATTATCCTTCAGGACCAGGAAAAGTGGCATGGGGCCAGACTTGCGACACTTGAGATTCCTGCAGTGATCTATCAGATCCACTGTGCAATCCAGTGCAAATATTCCTGTGTGTCGGTTGGTCATCTTGGTGTATCATGGTGGGTTGCTATCTCGCAGTTTTTATTAGTTAGCGAAGAACTCAATTGCTAGTAAATTAATTGCTCAATATTCTGCGTTGGGATCAAGCGCATCATCGTCTTGAGCTGCAGGAGCTGGCTGAGATGTTGAAGGTCCAGCTTGATTGGCGGACTCTTTCCCACCGAGCCTGTGATAGACTCGTGTCTTGCCGGATGCCTGCTCCCTGGACATGGCTGAGACTCGCTGGTCAAGGACCTCTAGACGGCCTACGAGGTCCGCAATAGACCTATTGTCAACGATGTCTCGCTGAATTTTGGCAAGATGGCCAGCGAGGGTGAAGATCTCTGTGCCACCACAGTACTCCACAGGGAACTCCGTTTGCGTGACGGCATTAAAGAAAGCGCTTGTGAGGCTGGTGGGCAGACCCAACTTAGCTTTCTTAGCTTTCTTGGATCCAGAGGGGCCTCCTAGGCGCTTGTGGGCATTCCCCTCCTTGGTGATGACCCGAGGTGCAGAACTTAGGTGAGAGGATGGCTAGTTGTCCTCACCCAAATCCCTTGGATCTGCCAGTGACTGGGACAGCAGAAGATTGGGGGAGAGGGAGGGATACTCGGCCCCACGTCATCAGCTGCCCTCTTTGTTGCTGATCGCGTCTTCTGCTTCACCATAGCTGACTTGGGAGGGGGGGGGGTAGGGCTTTAGGGAATGCTTGCACCTGGTTGAAGGCGAAAGGATTCCTGACGTGAATGGACTGAGGAGTGGGAGGTGATATGCTCCCATCAGGAATGGGTGTCTCCTTATCCATCTTGCGTTTATCACGCAGTTTTTATTAATTAGTAATATCCATTCTCTGTAACATGCTAGGTGGTCAATACGCCATGTTGATGACAGTTGTGCTGTGGCCTTCTAGCCATGGCAATGAGGCGCTCCCTCGGCTCCAAGAGTGACGTAGAGAAATCCGTCATTTTGTAATTACGGAATGTATTCCCTGTGCTTGTATCAGATTGCATTCGGCCAATTGCGCAAGTCAGCAATGTAGGAAGTTCCTTGCATTGAGCGGCATTACAGCAGCGAACCCTAGCACTCAGGTATTTCTCCAATCATGAGGATGCGCTGCATAGAACACTGCAAACTTGTCCTTGAACTCCTCAGCCTCTCTCAAGACCGGCTCCAACAACATAGCTTTAGTGGCCAGCCCACAGAAATCCACCATTTGAAGGATACTAGTCATACCGTACCCTTCTAACCAGCTTGAAACAGGCCTGCATCTGCTTGTGCAGAAGGAGTGGCATTCTCAGAGTCTATCATGGGGGGAATTGGCTGGGGAGGAGGCTGAGGAGGCTGCGCTGGATTAGGGCCAGGGGCATTAGGATCTGGAGCACCACCTGCAGGAGGGGGAAGAGGAGGGTTTGCTCCAACGGGTTCTGCTGCTGCTCTGGCCTGAGCCTCAATCCTAGCCTGCCTCGTGGCGTCCTGTTGGGCGATATACGCAGGATTCACCTTCATATCGCACACAAGTGCGTCCTCCGTCAACAGGCCAGGATCTGGTGCAGCGCACAGGTTGTTCTGAACATTTGTCCAGCCAGCAACGCTCAGTAGCGGGACCAACTTCAGGTCGGTGTCCTTGATGTTGGCAGCAAATGGTTATTAATGCTGCCCCCGATTGATTGTACCCGCTTGATGAGATAAGTCTTGCTTTCAGCCGTAAATGGCTTGTGGGCGCACAAGACTTCACCGACGGCAAGCAGAATCATGGCAATCTGCCCGGCCTTAAGTGTCTCCAGACCAATCCCCAGACCAGTCATTGCCCCCGATCTCCGCCGCGTCTACGTCGTGGGGGTACCCTGGCCTGCGCGTTGGCTGGATGCCCGGCATACTCGTGGGCCAGGCCAAACGGCGGAGGCCCCCCCGCCCGGATCGCTACCGGACGGAGGCTCCTGACTCACCTTTTCCCCTAAGGGAAGGGAAACTTCGGCCTCCCCTTCCCTCTACCCACATCTTTGGCCGCCTGTATTTCTTGGGGTTCCTTACGCCCTCCTCCCTCCCATCTTTTCTTCCTATTCGTTCTTCTTCTCCTGACCCAGGGTATCCATCCCAACCCTGGCCCGCACCCCTGCTCAGTCTGCTCCCTCCCAGTTACGTGGTGAGAATATTCGTTCAAGTGCTCCAGGTGCAATGCCTGGACCCTCAAGCGATGCTCCGGTCTGCGCTCCATCAATCTCTACTCAGCAAATTGGGTCTGCCCAACGTGCAGACGGTCTGCCCCGATCCCAGCCAGACCCTCGCCCCTCCGGCCTCCCCCTTCGCCCCCCGCCTCCCCCTTGCTGGCCCCCTCCCACCTCTGCTTCCTCCAGTTTAACTGTAACAGGGTTCAATCCAGCGCAGCTGAACTGGCTGCCTACCTCACCAAGAACGAAGTGGCGGTTGCGTGTCTCCAAGAGACCAAGCTATCCGCGGCATCCCGCTCCCCCTCCTTCCCCGGTTACGCGCTGGAGCGCAGGGACCACCCCGGAGGTCACGGTGGCGGTCTCCTCATCCTGATTCGCCATGATGTCCCGTACACCGGGCAAGACATCGCTCATCTCCTACGCGGCGACACTACCATGGAGGCCTTAGCAATCTCCACCCCTCTTAATGGCCCCCCTTTTTGTATCATTAATGTTTACATTCCACCGGCCTCCTCCTGCCCCCCGGGATATTCCCCGGAACTTTCAGGCATTGTCTCCATACCGGGCGACTGTCTGATAGTTGGCGATTTTAACGCCCATCATCCTTCCTGGTTCTCCCATACGGAAGACCAGAGAGCCGCAGCACGAGGAGCCGTAGTCGACGACATCGTCGCCGGTTCCTCCCTCGCTGTAAGGTTCAAGTAAAGGACGACTCCAAGTTGATTCGACAATTAACCTTAAACTGCCACCGATCCTAACAAGGGAGGAATGAAAGCATAATAAACAAATATTTGTTAAACAAAACACGCAAATTGAACACTGATAAATGAAAGGTTGAAAGGATCCTAGTAATTATAACGCACAGCAATGAAAGTACACAGCAATGATAGTACACAGCAATGATAGTACACAGCAATGATAGTGAACTTGGGTTGAGACTGGACTGGTGCAGGTACTGGAGTTGAGAAGTACCGTCGAGGTCGGCCTATCTAGGAGCCGCATTTGCTGGCCGGGCAAAGAGTCGGTCCTAATAGGGACGCTACAGGTGCACTCGAAACTAGTGACAGCAGGTACGCTCCGACCAAGTGACAGCAATCGAATGAGACGAACTAACCCGGGCTTCAGGCCGGTAACGCCACGTCATCAAATAGCATGGTTGCCAACCCTATAAACAGCCGGAAAACTTACGACACAAAAATAAATTTAAGTAACTTAAATACTAAAGGGTGAATTTTTCTTACACTCGCCTACCTCAATGACGACTCCCACACCCGCCTCCCCTTCCATGGCCCGCCCTCCTCACCGGACCTCGCCATCATCAGCGGTCATCTTCTCAACACCTCCTGGACTTCTCAAGTCGCCCTCAACTCGGACCACCTACCCATCTTGATTCATCTTCCTTCCTCCGTCGACTCCCCGACCCCCCGGACCGCCCGCTCATACGTCAACTTTAAAAAAGCTGACTGGCCCGCCTACACGGCAGCCATCGAAGCGGCACTCGAGATGGTCCCTCTCCCCATCTCGTGTGGTGGTGAGTCGACCTTGAGAGAAGTCTCAATGACCGCTGCCAGACAACATATCCCTGCCGGTTTCCGGAAGGACTTCTCCCTCTCCATCAACCCTGACACCCAGTTGCTCATCGAGCAACGGGATGATATCAGGGCGCGTAACCCAACCGACCCTCGGCTCCCAGAACTCAACCTGGAAATCAGTATTTCCATACAAGCCCATGCTAGGAACACATGGGGAACTCATCTTGCGTCGTGCAGCAGGCGCACAAACCAGTCTAAGCACTGGAATCTCCTCCGCTCACTAGCCGGAAAGCGAAACCGCCCCCCCTCCAATCAGCCAATCCAATTTGGTCTGAATTCCCTCTTTTCCCAGCACGAGATCTCCTCCGCCTTCTGCAAGGTATTCATTCACCTCGATGGCTCCTCACTCCCAAAGCCCCTCCACCCGCCGCCTTATACGTCGAATCCGGGCTGATCATCCCCTCGACAGGGACTTCTCCCCTTTCACACCCGACATGGTGAAGCTTGCTATCGCAGCCGCCAACAACTCCTCCGCTAGAGGTCCAGATGGCCTCACGGTCCTTCACCTCAAGCACCTCGGCCCACGTGGTCTCCAGTTCCTCACCCGAATTTTTAACTTCTCACCCGAATTTTTAACATCTCACCCGTCTCCACAGCCTCGATCCCATCCATTTGGAAAAATTCAATAATTATTCCAATCCTCAAACCGGGCAAACTCCTCATATCGCCCTATCCCCCTCCTCTGCCCTGCAGCCGAGATCCTAGAGCGTCTTGTGCTCCCGTACATCTTAGGTTCCCTCACCACCGTCCACTCGCAACATGGTTTCAAACCGGGACACTCCACAGTCACCGCCCTCCTCCCGCTCGCGCACCAGATCGCGACGGGTTCTAACTCTCGGCGCCCTCCAGCCCATACAGTTGCCGCTGCAGTAGACCTCACGAAGGCTTTCGATAGTGTCGACCACCCCCTCCTCCTAAGCATGATCACGGCCTTGGACCTACATCACAACCTGGTCCGCTGGCTGTGCTGCTACCTTAGAGGCAGGCAGGCATCCTGCCTTTACCTGAGAACACAATCGCCCTTCAAAGCTATACACTCGGGCGTTCCCCATGGCTCGGTCATCTCGCCGGTCCTTTTTAACCATTTCATCTCCGATACCCCAGTGCCGTCCCCCAACATTGCCTCATACGCGGACGACCTTACCATCTTCCTGTCGTCCCCGAGGCTCGACGCTGCGGAGGCTGAGCTCGCCGGGCTCCTTCAGAGTGTCTCAGAGTGGTCGGTGGACAAGAAACTGGCCGTGGCTCCTGGCGAGTCATCGGTCACGCTCTTCACCCCAGATACACACCAATCCCGATACCACCCATCTGCCACAATCTGCAACGGCATCATCCCTCTGGACAAAACCCCCAAAATCCTAGGCGTCACCTGGGATACGCACTTCACGTTCTCCCCCCATGCAAGAGCCATATCCACGAAAGCGACTGGTTCTCTTCGCATCTTATAAGCCCTAGCTGGTACCAACAGAAGCTTCTCCAAGGAGGACATCATTGCCACCTACCGAACCATCACGCGCCCAATCCTCAACTACGCGGCCCCCATCTGGTGCCCTGTTGCCTCACGTACAGCAGTTGCCAGCCTGCAGATAATACAAAACACTGCATTGAGATTAGCCACCAGCTGCCTCAAAATTGTCCCGATCTCCCATCTTCGTATGCAGGAGACCGGCGTCCTCCCTTTGTCCGCGTACCTGGACCTGGCCTGCGCCCAGTTCCTCGCCAGCGCCCTCCAGCCCTCCCATACCTCTTTCCGCATTGTTTCTACTCCACTTGGGAACCGCTCCATGAAAGCCTCCATTCAGTCGAGGTTCGGCCACCTGGTCACACCACTCCTGGCAAATAGCATCCTACCCGCTGGTGCATACGGAGAAGCCAAACGGGCTCTTCGCAGGGAGATCGCCTCCCGCGTCGCGGCGACTGACGCCATAAATGCCGTCCTCGCTGCTCCGCCACCGCCGATTGCATCGGTCGAGGCCTCTCTTCCGCGCCCCTACCGTTCGGCGCTATCCAAGCTCCACTCGGGATACTGCAGCTCCCTGGCGTCCTACTCCGCTAGGATCGGACGCTCCCCTAGCTCCGGCCCCTCGTGGTCACTGTTTGTGGTTCACCTTGTGCTCTCCTGTGACTTGCCTCTGACTTCGCCCTGGGATTAGCAGCCATCGTGTGGTGAGTGTCGCTAGGGATTAGTGACTACTTCTTTTTTCGCCTCTGTTTCTACCATTCTGTGTACATACGACTGCAGTCCCATCCCATACCTGTGTTTTCGCTCCCTCCCCTCCCCTTATCCCTATGCCCCCCCCTCCCGCCCCGAACCCGACGGGCTCGTCCCAGAGGGCTAGGGGCCCTACGACCAATCAACCACCACGACCCCGACTTCCATCCGTGTCATCACGTCATCCCCCCTCATCTTCATCAAACTTACCAAATCAACCGTCAACCTCTCATGAACGCTCGAGACCCCAAACCTACAGAATCCAACTTAAAAAAATTGACCCCAGACTCCCGACCGACCGACCTAAAATTTTCCAAACCACATTTAAAGAACTCGACGCTCCACTGATCCGACTCACCGACACCGCAACCGGTTTTTATGCCGTGACTGACGACGCTACAGCAATAGACAAACTGACATCAAAAAAAGCGACAGAAGCCTTCAGACAAATTAACCTGACCCCAATTGTACCGCCTGACCTACGAGCAAAACGGACCATTTTTGTGAGACAACTTGACAAGGACGTAGGAAGCCACTCAGCCGACGAAATCAAACACGAAATAACCACACAACAGAACTGGCTACATATACAAGACATCATTAAAATCAAACACTACACACACGTTATTAAAATCATTACCACCGACACCACAATAGCCCAACGCGTACTTACAAATGGCTTCTACATGTATAACACTAAAATTACACCATCACAGTGCCAACAAGAAGAATACACACACCTACTCATATGTTACAAATGCTACAAAATAGAAGACCACCCTACACATCAATGTACATCCACCACTCCCTCATGTTCCGAATGCGCCGCAAAA